GTCTTATTTTACGTGTTCTAAGACATTTGCAGTAGAAACTAGACAGAAATACATTGTCTTCGCGTTTTTGCAGTGTTCTGCTTTTTGTCACAAGAAAGACAATCATTTCTTTGGTCCTTAAAGTCGGCAGCACAGGACGTGCCACCTCCGCAACCCCAAAAGCCAAGGTGGCCGCAGAGCTGGAGAAAAGCTCAGGTAGAATATCCTGTGCAGCGCATGTGTAACTGATATGTTCAGTTCATTGTAATCAGAGGTGACAGAGGACTTTATAAAGAGCTTGAAATAAAGTAAACTGTCATGCTGTGTGGAATTTCCCTCGACATCCACCAGCCCAAAATAATATTTTTAAGAAGGTTCTCTTTCCCAAGCACTCCAAGGAAAAAGAAAAAAAATCTTAAGAAATCGCTGTTTTCCTAAGAGCTGCATTGTCGGAGCTGCAGGAGAATGAAGGCTTCATTCTTTTAATATGCAGAGCAGAATAAGAAATTATTGCAAAGTGTAACATCTGTTCCCCGTCTTGACATGAAACCCTCACAGAAACCACCCGTCGTCCAGTCGCTGAATATTTATTTGCAGAAAGAGAGCCACGAATTAAAGAGGAATGTCAGCCCTCAAAGAACCTTTTAATGGAATTCTATTAATTATACTGGGAGCTATTTGCTGCTGCGAATAATCACATGTGTGAAACGGGGGAAAAAATGAATGCAGATCAAATTTGGCTGTCAGGTTTGCAGTGTTGCGACATGCTGTGCAGTATCGGATTTCCGCAGCATTCCCTGTTGTAGGTGTTCCTCCTCAGAGGATTTGTCGTTGAAAAGATGACAAACCGGCCCTGCTGTTGGTCGCTGACACTTAGCTGAATAAATGTTGCTGGGTGACAGATTGGAGAGTAAACAGTACTAAAAAATTACTGGAGGCACTTGTGAGAGTCTGAGGAAGATGGAACAGGCAAAGCTTTGTTTGAATACTTTATCCCCAGAGGGAAATTCTTACTTTTGAAGTATAAATAATAGATGAAAAAAGATGCAAACTCATCAAACCAGTTAAAACTTCATTCAAACACCCAACAGTTTACAAACTGATCAGAAACTTGAAGTGTGGTTCCAATCCTCAGAGATCATTTATGGGATGTGCTTGTGGCTCTGAAACAAGAAATAAACAGTTTTAAGTGTTGCTATAATTATGCATTGTGTCATAAATACACAGGAAACAAAAAAAAACAATCAGTTTTACTGTCAGTGACTGGCTGTAGAGCAGCCAGTCCACAAGCGCCATTCATTTTCTTTGGTGCTGTTTAGCTGAAGCCCAAAGAGCAGAGAAAATGGAGACTGTGAATGTTAGCTTCTGCGGTAGCCCTGACAAGGTTTCTGCACTGCATATTAATGTACATTAAGTTATATTCTGTGTTTAAACTGTAAAATCAGGCAGTAATGAGTATTTTTAGAGGGGTGGTGGTCCAAAATATGAGGGATTTGACTACAAACCTGAATCATTTAATTTCTGTTCATTGTATGTAAAGTATTAGCTTAAAGCATCTTTCAGGGACCAAAAGCAACAGCAGAAGAAACCCCAGACTAACAATTTGCCTGAAATATCATTTTGACAACTACATTACTGTAGCGCAGTGGTGTTGCAGAGTTGCACAACCACTTTATGTGCATTAATATAAAATAGGTGAGCAACAATGCTGGTCAGAACAGGAGCAGAAAAAATGTCAGGTATCCAAAAGCTACCAAAGGTTTTGTGACAAACTTTTATTCACCACTGTGTGGCTTTATAATCTCACTGCAGGGTGCCAGTTTGGTATGTCTCCACTTAAAAGCATGTCTACTGACTTCCTCCTCCTTGCCATTCACTGTAGCGGTAGACTTTCACTACTTTGTGAGGACATTGTGCCAATGCCAGAGTTCAGGCGACTTAAACGCAGCATCATCTCTCTTCAGTGACTTTCAGTTGTCTTGTGCTCAATTACCAGCTATATATTATTGTGCTACTGATTTCTCCTCCGCGGGGAATATTGCAGCTTTTCCACACACATATCTCACAGAATGAACCAAGCAAAAGTGTTTTAAAGTATGTAAACGCAAAACTGTTGGTGTAATTATTGGAGAGAGTAAATAGTTTAAAAACTTCATTTCAGGCTCAGGAAAAAGGCCTCAGGGATTTGGAACGAAGTGGAGTGGAGTGTTTATACGCATGTAAACAGCTGCAAAGCACCCACAGCTGGTCACCCCCAACAGAGGCGCACAACGCATTACGTAAACTTCATCTGTAACACACACAGTATGGAAAGCCAAGAAAACATCGGACTGATTGGCTACTTTTGTTTTGTTTTAGCTTTTTACAGTTTAGAGATTCATAACATTTACATTTATATGCATAAAGTGGAGGGATGCATTTTTATTTGCATTACTGTCCAATGCCACGCTGGCCTATAAATATTTTTGATAATGTAATAATGAATGTATCAAATACATGTTTATACTTGGGATTCTGTAGCCATGTTTGTATAAATATGTTTAATTAAATACACAACCTGAGTAAATGTGCAAATTATTATTCAAAACCTAAATTAACTGCATAAATAAAATTCATTGTGTTTCTGTTTTATAAATTATTAAAGACTCTTTTATTAGAAACAGTTAGTTTGTTTTCTCAGATGTACCCGCCATGTTTCTACTTCCATCTTTGTCTTTAAGTTGAATGTGTTAAAATCATATGTAATTATTTCAGTATTTATTGAATAACTATAATATCTATATTCATACTCAAAAACATTCTCATTATTGGCAATCGAAATAAAAAACTAATTGGGGATCCTGGCATGAAGAAGCTTTTCAGAATGGGACATTAAACAGCTTCAATCTACATTTACAAGCATCTTGAATTTTCTGTGTTTCCTGGATCCTGTGAAACCAGACGGATGTTCTGAATGAACAACACGACAACAACGCAGGTAGTTTCCCTTTCTGGTTCGTAAAAACGTTTCTCTTACAGGACAGATGTTCTTCTTGCATACGAGTTGTTTTCACCAGGCCAGATGATGACTGTTCAGCTCCCTCCTCATTTTCTCCTCATTTTTCCTAATGATGTTGCCCACCTGCCTCACCACAATCCTAAAACAAGACACTTAAAAAGCCAGGCTCCTTAATGCCGAGTCATTAGGAACTAATAACCATCATTTCATTGAAACTTCCTTGTTATCCCTCCTAAATGAGGCTTGATAAGAAATTTGTTAACTGACGGAAATCTCCACATGTTTACGGCGGAGAATCGTTCGCTCTCTGTGACTGTGTGTTGCTTGTGCTACTGGATGGGGTAACCCCGGTTCCTTGGCTCCTCAACACCTGTGTTTACTTTGGGGCCTCGGCCCCCGTGACCCAGCAGCAATCCTTCACTCACTCAGAAGATGGAGTGAGGTTTTAGCCTCCAAATATGTGCCGTCTCTGCGCTTTTACCACCGTGAGATTCCTCTAACACTTTCACAACGAGCCACAGGCCAAACTTAAAGTGTGAGTTACAATCCTATTACAAATTTCTGGGAAATGTAACGACTCTTTTCCTTTACTGTGATGTTAATCCAGGCTAAAATAAATATTTGGCTGTTTGTCTGTGCTTGATGTGGCACTTCTGGAATTCACTATGAAATTGGAAGTAAAGTTTCAAATCTAACATGTCTGATTTTTGGACAAGCAATTTAAGAAAATGCTCTCAGATTCCACAGCCTGAGTTTCCATTGCGCTGCAGATACAGAACTGTAGATAATTATTAATGGAGGTAATATGTCTCATAGGCAGTATGAGGACTCAAATATTTAAAATATTTGTAGAAAATTGAGTCAAACATTATTTATGCCACAGCATAAATTGGGTTTAAAGTCAATTTAAAAGTCAATCTCTCCATCCTTCCAACTTACTTATTGTGACTGGGAGTAATATTATTAATTAATCACATGCAATGTTGACATTTTGGGAGTGATGGTGACATCAAAAAATTAGAGTTTGTAATGAAAATGCATTGCTAAAAGGTCTTTAAAGTTTTTATTTGGACTTTTCTTGCTTATTTAAACTCCTTTATTTCCATTAAAGTGTTGATTTCATTCATACTTTAAGAACTTCAAACACGATAAAAGTACTTTAGCTGTGAAAAAAAGTATTAAAAAGTATGTGGGGTTTTATGTTTGCATGCATATTAATGGAATATGTTATGAAAAAGTATTTATTTGGGATTTTTTTTAAAACCATAATGTCAAAACTGCTTAAATTCCCAAAGTTGCAAAATAGTGAGACATAAAGAACAGACACAAACGATGCTTGTAGCATGTGTCACTGTCATATTTTAGTTTATTGTACTAAATAAAAATCACCAACTGATAGGTAATCATCTTTTTCTGCATAGCTCTTCTGCTTCATCTTGAACCGTCTCCAGCGGCCCGTTTGCAGGCGTTAAGATGTGGATCTGATGAATGTTGTGTACTGTCCGCCGTGGCCGCGTGCCAGACTTCTGTTGCTCGTACCGCACTGTGAACTGTTCAAATATAAGTGCCAGTGTTTTTTCAGGTGTGGATCCATTAGTGTGCGCCAAAATCCATGTTTCTATGGAAACAGCTTGAAGCCAGGAGGAGAAAGCAGCCACGGAGTCGTGTGGTTTATAGTTGTGGATTTATGTTTCCTATGAAGAAAATTATGATAACGAGGAAAACCTTTAATGGTGAATTATATTTGGTGTTGATAGTTTAACAGCTACTTGTCAAGAAGCATGTATTGTGTTAACAAAGCCAGTGTGGAAAAATCACTTCCCAGATTCAAAGGGACAGATTTATTTCTATTCATTGATTTTTTTATTTGTTAATTAATAAAGTTGAAGCAGAATCAGAGGATAGCACTCTGAGGGGTTTAACATGTAAAATCCTCCCATAAATGAAGAACCTCTAAATCTTCATGCGACTTTTTTCAAGTTTAGAGAAACATTTCAAGCCTTTTGAGTGTTGTCTTTTCCAGGACACTGGCAAGTGCAGGAAAGGAGCTCAACGATAACTTCCTGAAGGCCCTGGCAGAGCGAGAAGAGGCCAACCGCAGTGGGAAAATGACTGTGAGTACATTATTACACCACTCCAATTGCTACGTAATGGGATTCCCCTCAAATATTTCTGCAATTCCATTAGGATGGAAACAAAATCCATACTGTGTCAAGCTGAGTGGAACTGGCCCTCCCTCCCAGTTCCAGTCCCTCCCCAAATACCACCAAAGCCAGCTGGCGGCCCCCTTTCCCAACCATAAGACCCCCTCACTAAAACCACCTTGTTCTTAGATTAAACCACAATGATAAATATTAAAGGGGCCTCATCCTAATCCGCACATCATATTTCAAATTTAAGGAATTTCATAATTCCTCTGTATAGTTTATATGATTTTACTCCACATCACCTAAATAGAGTTGCTCTTCAAACACATTTAAAGGTGTTAAATAAGGTTTAACAATTTATTTTTATCTCCTTTTCAATTTTATCATCTTTAGAAATATTGGAGAACTGTGTCTAAAAAAACAAATCTGTGTGTTTTTGCAAAATATTATAATAATGGCCAAACTTTGCAATGGAAACTTTTTTATTGCCTAGTTTTGTTACTTCTCATCTATATGTTGAACTGATTGCACAGAATAAAACCCTAAAACTTCACCCTGAACATGTAGTAAGCATTAATGTTCCACAGTAGACTCTTGGTAAATCCACAAATGCTGAGGCGCCATATAGAAATGCTGGAAACTTTCTGTGTCAAACACCAAATATACATTAACATGCATTAATACGTACAGTGGAAACAGTCTTGGTGGACCACAGAAGCTAACATTCACAGTCTTCTGAATCTCCGCTCTTACAACCAATGAGCAGTCAGAAAAATAAATGGCATCTCTGGATTGGCCGGTTTACAAACAAGAACCAATAGCGTGTCAAGTAGCGTTACCGAGTTGTTTCGGCTTTCACACCTGCATTTTCTTTAAAATTTTTAAACTCACTCTCTGAAAAAAAAAGCCTGCAAATATGTGAATCTACATAAACTGAACCATGAATAGGTGCATCATGGCATCCCACCATCACAGGCTATTCAGCCTGGATTTGAACCCAATACTACTGTGTGCAGCTTCCTCTCAAAATTTTGACAAAATGAATGTGCAAAAACTAAATTTTAAGACCTTTCTGCATGGAGTTTGCATGCAGAAATATATCAGAAGGTTGCACATGGTTGTCCTTCTGTTGTCCTGTAAAGAAAAACTGTTTTGTTGACTTTGAACTCGGCTTCAATGTTGTTTGGATTAGTCAGATCATTTTTGGTTAGGTCATTCAGTGATTCTGCTTTCAATAAGGAGCTGTTTTGTTCAGCAAGTTGTAAGAAAATAATGTGAAGGCCTTAAATTTTGACTTCACGTCTGGACTCAAAGCAGATGTTTAATCCAAACAGATTCCTCCACGCTTTCACCATTAATCAAAATCATATGATAAAAAGTTTATGGACCATTAAGACCCTCTGAGGGATGCTACTGAGAGATTGTCCAGGTGGTGCTGATAGGTTGGCCTGCAGTGGACAGAGGGGCAGATTGCAACAGAGGTGGAAGCAGTTCTGATAAATGCCCACACTCCAACACACTCAGCCAGAAAATCCCTCTTCAAAGATCCTCTCCGAATAACAAAGTTTATGCGCAAAGACTGTCCAGGAATGTGGATTTTTTACTTGGAGGAAATGTTCTGAGAGTTTAAGAATATCTGGGTGGAAAACGCTTTAGTGGTAATCAGGTTGATCTTAGTTTTGACTTGGGGCGATGAAGGGATTATGCATGTGGTTCTTTACCCTGCATCAGTGCTGATGGACTTCAAATGATTCACTCCCAAGATGCGGGAGTAAAAACAAGTGGAGTTTTGTTTCACCTCCGTTTACCTGACCCTGCAGGCTCAGCAACCAGTAGATCGCATGAAGCACATAGCAGAAGAAGAAGTAACACCAAAGGATTCTCCCGGCATCTTTACTGTGGAAACATTAACACTTTAAAACTTCTGTTTTTATTCTATAGAAATACATTTAAGTTAAATGATTTTGCAGAAAATAAAACAACAAGCCGGCTATTGCAATGTGTATCACCAACCTTGCTCTGCTGACACAATATTTTTCCGGCTTGTTGGAACTTTCTTGGTTGAAAAATTGGATCTGGAAGATGCTTGTATTCCTTTGAGCCCCATTCGTTTAAAGTTAAAGCCACATTTGTTCGCTTAATGCTTCTTCTCTTTGAAACTGTTTGTGTAACAGGTAATCTTAATGCAGTTTGACGAGGCTTGACCTCATTGGTATATTTACATTAGACAGATGTATTCCAGGCAGCGCTTGCACATGTGTGCAGGCGTGCCATATCTCGTTTCAGGCATTTATTTTGTGCTGCAGGAATAGTTTGTGAAATTTTAATTGCAATTTGCCAGTAGGCATATATCAAAGTGATGTTTATACATATGTAAAACATGTTCTGTTTGCATTGTAACAGCTGCAACAAATTGCAAACAATTATGATTTATGAAGAAGTTGAGGAGCAATAATTTTTTTTCTCTCTCCACTCAGAATCCACTTTACAAAATGGTCGGGGTAGCCGTGTTTATCTTTAATTTGATAGTAAGACCACCCAGCATTTTAGAGATCTCTCTCTTTTCTGACAGTTTTTTAAAAGCATATTAAAAACATGACATAAGCTCCTATCTGCTGTCCTCCTTGAACCAAAGGATCCTTCATGCTAACACATTCCAGCTTCTCATATCTGCACATTTTTGTACTCTAATGGGAAGCAGTCATTTTTCCAACACATGCTCCCACTTTCCACGTTATCTTTTTAATGTTTGCACATTTTTGTTTCTTTAGGTGTCTCATTCATAGCACTGTGACGTACTAACTGGTTTTAAAACAAAAGAAAGGGGCAAAAGTTCCTAGCACACTTAACACCTTGTAAAAGTATTCATTCCTTCAACAATTTTCCATTTTGTCATGTTAAAGTCACAAACTTTCGGTGATACTGTAAATGTTGAACCACTGGTTGTCACTTCCCTCCTCATTTTGCCGACTTGATGGCATGATGAGGTAATACAAGATGGTGACAAATAATTTTACAAATAAAAATCTAAGATAGGGAGGAATTTAGTTTCCTGTACTCTGTGTAAAGTTATAAATATCTGCACCATGTAGTCAGTGAGAATCATGATCGGTAAAAAAGAAAAAAAAAAAAAGTAGGTCAAAGATGGAAAATATTCAGTTCACATGATGGTCTTATTACTTTTGCATGACTTGAGAGCTCTTATTCTTTCCATTATTCTATTAAGGCCTGACTAGCAAATATTCTATCTACAGATTCCTCCACCTGAGCTGTGGATCTCTGCAGCTCCTCCACAGGCCTCTTGGCTGTTTTTTATTATTATTTTTTTTTTTGCACACTGCTCTTTTCTTCCAGCCTAAATGTTCTCTGATGCTCAAAACTTGGGATATAATTTTAGAAGCTAGCGCTGCTTTAAACTTCTGCACCTGTCTGAAGGTTCCTTGGTTTTTAAGATGCTGTTTGTTTTGTAAATTATATTTACTAACTTTACTAGATAAAATGTAATAAAGTTCAGCAATTATTATTTTTTCATGCAGAACTACTGTATTATCTTGAAGAAATTAAGATTGTGGCTTGAACTGTCTTGTTTTGGCTTTGGTAGTGGAAGGTTGATACTGGTTAAAATTATATTTGTCAAAAATGATTCTTATTGTGTTTATTTCTTTTTATCAATAAGTTCTTTTCCTCCATCAGAGAGCTTCTGTTTTGTTGCTCCTTTATGTCAGTCTCAGCATTCAGAGTCAGGCTGAAACTACACGTGTTAATACAATTGTTAGGCGTCTTTGTGACTTACAAAAGATTGAAAGAACTCTTTGTATGGAGTCCCATCTGGTCGCTTCTCTTGAGAATAGTAATTAAACTCCATGAAATCATTCAAACTTACAGCCTGAATGCATTTCGTGTTTTTGTTTTCCAGTGAGGAGTCAGGTTTGGTGTGGATGAGCTTTCAGAGTCTGCCCTTTATTGTGCGTTGACTTTTCAGGGCCTGTGGCAAAAGCTGCTTCCCTGGCAGAAGTCACTAAACAAACAAAAGCTGCACCTGGGCAGCTTTTGGCTTTATTTGCGCTGGGTAAGGCGTTCTTTTAATCAAATCCAGGTCACACCTGGACAGGATGCCTGAGGGTGTCCATTGTTGGAAAGTTCGCCTTTAAAGCTGGAGGTGTGGTGCCAACACCTGCCCTCCTCCCTGGTTGATAGCAGTTGATCAGGATGAAGAACGGAAACTTAAAGGAAGTCAGTGATGAAGCAGTGAAGCTCACTGTTGTCTCCAAATGTGATTAATTTGGTTGTGTAGATTGTGTAGTGTAGTGTGGACTGAAATCACACACGGCCTCTGGTTTGATTTCACAGACCATGTGTGGTTTAAATTACATAACATAGGAGCAGATTATTTTTCAAAATGACAAAAAATATATTTTAGTTACAGTTAGTACTGGCAGCACTGGGAGAAGGCAATGGAGCTCCATAATTTCACAGATCTTATCCTGTCACAACATAATGATAATTTAAACATGATACAAATTTTAAATTTGTAAAACAAAACAAAAACAAAAAAATTAAATAAAAGTTACACTCTACAGTTTTAATTTACTTTCACATATTCTGCATAAATGTTCATTTGTTCAGATAAATTAAGTTAACAATGCAAGCATTTAATATAAACTAAATTCCTCTTTTTTACTGTTTACTTAAGCCAGTCTAACTGTCCACAGATGATTTTCAGTCTCCTACTCTTAGTTGTGGAATTTAACTGGTTGGTCTGCGCAGCGAGTCTCATGCCCAGAGGGGACATCCTGCATAAAGGATGTGTTTGTCTTTGGTCTGTGGACCCAGCGAATTCTGTATTGATAAGCTCCTGTCGCTATAGATAATAAGGTGGTCAGTCATGCAGCTCAGAGATCAAGTATAGCATTGAAATTAAAGAGGAATTCCCAGCCCTATTGCATTTCAAGCTGTGTGTGTGTCCC